CGTGCGTGCGCGCGTGCGTGTGGTGGTGTGTGTGTGTGTGCGTGTGTGTGTGTGTGTGTGCGTGTGCGTGTGCGTGTGCGTGTGCGTGTGCGTGTGCGTGTGCGTGTGCGTGTGCGTGTGCGTGTGCGTGTGCGTGTGCGTGTGCGTGTGTGTGTGTGTGTCGGGCCATCAAGAGCGCACGTCCAGCAGCATAAGAGCAACTGACCGTGGCCTGTGCCAACGGGCCCACATGGGCCGCTTAGGTGCCTCTGGGCAGGACCAGAAACACAAAGCAGGCAATCCCCAGATTACCGAAGCAAGGCGCCACCGAACCCTCGGAGGCCAGGGTCGAGGACGAGAAAATACTCTCACCACGACAGGAAACCTACAGGGCACTGCCCGTGTAAGGATTCAGGCCTCTAAGAAGCCTGCCCCGACGGCGAGCCCTCTCACGGAGGGCAGGGGGGGTGCACTGGCTCGGTGCAGGCAATGGTCCCGTGCACTCAACCAGCAGCCCTCTCGCCTGCTGCTTGCCCGAAAGACAGCCGCATCTCCGACAGACGGTGAACGGCGGGGCGGAAACAAGCTCATGTCCCCGCTCGTGGACGACACCCGCCCCACCACCCGTGCCCCCGCCTCCCTCCTCGGCGGCCGCGGCGACGGCAGCACGGCCGCGGGCTGCCTGGCCCCGCACCCGCGGGGCTCTCGGCGCCGCAGGGGGCGCCGTCGGTGGCGGGGGCGCCGCCAGCTCCGCCGTCGGCGGGGTGGGGCTGCTCGCCCACGTTCGCATCGGACCGTCCCCCACCCACCCAACCTCCACGCACGTCGTCACGCCCTCCCTGCCTTCTCCTTCCCCAAAGTCCTCCAGGGGGGCCTCCAGCAAACCTCCCGAGAGGGACGCAGGGGTGGAGGGCAGGTGGGCAGAGGCGGTGGCAGCAGGTGTGCCCCCAGCAGCACTGAGGAGACGGGCAGCGATACGATCCCGACGATCCTCGTCGGAAAGGCCAGTCTCGGGGCGCACTGAGGGGGTGGCCTCGTCGGCCGAAGCCCTCATGCCTCCGATTGGGGTCGAGGGCTCGGTGACCACAGCACGAACGCGAGCGGATCGATCCAGCCTGAAAAACGCATGGGCCGATTGCGTGCCTTCGAGCCTGCTGCGAGACCTGAGCGGAGCCTCCGAGGGGGAAGGGCCGTCAACTTGCCGCCTCGGCGAGCGGCTGCCTCCCCCACCAGGGTCAGGCTCAACTCTCTCTGACGGGGTCGACGCAGCGGCGGCGGCGGCGGCAGCGGCGGCCAGGGCAAGGGCGACCGCAGGGGAGGGGCGAGGAGGTGCAGGGCTGACCCCCTCGGCCTGAAGGGCCGCCTGGGCACGGAGCCTGGCCATGTGAGACGGCACGCATGGGTAGGATTCAAGGCACCGTCTGGTCTCTGCTGTGCGTGCAACACGGTTACAAGCCAGGCAACGGACCCCTCCTCCAGGGAGCTCTGCAAACTCGTGTGCCACCAACGCAAGCAGCCTGGGCGCCGTGACGGGCGGGGGGGGCATCGGGTCGGCCTCCGTGGGATCCCAAACCCCCGATTTAGCCACACGAGCAGCCGCCCAGGCCACGAATTTAGCATTAAGGCAGGCCTCTTCCATACGAAACTGGATGTTACGAACGAGGCCTTTAGCTGGGCTGGCTAAGTCAAGGGCAACACTAGCAAACAGATCAGCCCAGCTATTTCCAAGCCAATCCTGGAGATCAAGATTAAGCTCAATAGCCTGGTCCAGGGATTTATGCGAGGGAATCCATCCAAACGAGGGCGGCCTCCTGTCTTGGCGGGCCACAGTGGCGCGTAGCGCTCTCCAGAGTGCAGCGTGACGGGCCGAAGCGGACGCGTCCCCAGGGCTCCACCGTTGCCCTTCCTCCACGAAACTTAAATGATCAGAAATCAAACACGAAACCTGTGGGGAAAGGCAGGTGGCGACGAGTCCAGCATATCTCTCAGCCCTCGCCACTGTCTGCAAACCTGGGAGAGAGCCGAAAATCGCCTTACAAGGCCAGCCGTCGCCTCGCAACTGTACTACGGCCCAGGAGCATCGAGCGATCTCAGGAGTGTCCATGCCGAAACCGCCGCCATCGATGTACAACCTACCGCCCCACGGAATCTCGGCGTCTCCCCAATGGTGCACGAAATCGGGGCACATGGGAGGCATCTCAGAGGCGGGAGGCTGCAGCGGGATAGCATAGGCAAACTGCAAGGCCTCATGTGGGTCATCCTGAGCCGACTCCCACGCAAGGCGATCAAGCCGCTCACGGGTCTTAAGAATCACTTCGGGCGGGTCCGTCTCGTGAAGGGCAGGGTCCAGGAGGGCGGGGCATTTGTACAGACGATGGCCATTCGTCTCACGTTCAGCACCGCAGGCTAGACACCTACCACTGTCAACCAAACGCTTCTCATACTTTTCTGCCGAGGCCACATCGCATCAGTCCAGACGCACTGCAGCGAGCCTCGTTCGGAAGGGTCCCGAACCGCCTTCTCGACGCACCGCCTGATGCCGCGATGCCAGAACCGCTCGCCATTGTGAATATCTATGTGGTTCTCTGCGCGCGCTAGCAGCCAGCGCGTGACACCCTGGACGACGTGGTCGCGAACATCTCTAGGCGCCATCTGATTCAGGTCGAGGACGGTGCCAAGGTCAGACACGAAGGTGGTCGCCGAACTAAATCACCAACCGATCCGATGCAAGGTAAGCCACAGGGCCCCGAGGGGGCCGCGCACTCGGCTCCAGCTGGGCTGTGCGCTCATCTGCCCGTTGACGAAGTCCCACGTGCCACTGAGAGCTTGCATTTCCACCCGACCTTCCCACAACATGCTTGCATACATGAAAACGATGCTGGTGGTCGCCGCATACAGTGGGTCGTAGAATGGCTGGTCTTGCATGAGCATGCCCATGCATATGCGACCCGTCGGGCGCACTCCTGCCAGTAGCGCAGCAACCGATCGGATCGGCTTGAGCACCGCGTCTGCGACGCCGCTGACCGAGGCCCCGTGCGTGACGGACGGCGTGATCCCAGCGGCCTGGATGCGCGTGATGCGGCTGGCCCCGACAGCTTTCTTGAGTATGAGGGAGCGTCGCACCCGTCCTCGAAGCTGCTGTAGACGTGCTGCCTCTTGTTGCCGTCTCACCTTGGGGCCTGCCAGCTCGTGGCCGAGGTTCCGAATCCACGGCAAGCCCATGACCTGCCTGGCTCTTGCTGCCGAGCGGAAAGCCCTGCTGGCGCGGCTGGAAGAGGCGACGTAGCCCAGCTTCTTGACCTGGATTGGCAGCTGGAGACCCTGGAGCTCGAACTTGAGTTGATCGATGCCCTCACCCAACTCGGTCCCGCTGTGCTTGGCATGCCCAGTCCACTGGAGGGAGACATCGTCAACCAACTGCCTGGGCTTGAGCGACGGACACAACGCACTCATTCTCTGCATGGATCTGTGCATCAGCACTGCTAGTAGGGTCGTCGCCTGCGAGCATCCTGCCACTATGCCCTGGGAGGAGATGTAGAGCTCGCTGTTGCTGCCATGTGCGCGAACGACATGTGGCTGGCGATACAGCTGTGTCAGGAGCCATACCAGCCTGGGCGGGAAATTGACCTCCAACGCTTCACGTACCAGAACTTCGGGCGCCACCATCTCGAAGCATTTGAGGAGGTCTACCATCAGCGTGATAACGTCCAGCTTCCGAGCAAGGGCTATCTCCGAGGTAATGTTGTGGGAGAAGGCCGAGGCTGACGAACTCCTCCCAGGTCCCAACCCCCAAGCATGTTCCTCTCGGTGGGTAGCCTCCCACTGGGCAGCCAACGGGCGGCGGGCACGGCTCCAGAGGCGCACGATCGTATTCAGCAGGCCGATCAGTCTCATTCCTCCGCCCGCCTTCGGGAGGCGGACCAGCACCGTGGCCAGGCGCTGCGGCGGCCAGCCAAGGTGGTGCTCGCAGGCATGGAACAGGAGGGACAGGGCTAGCAGCGCCTGATCCGAAAGAACGTCAAGGTGTCGCGGCTGGAATCCCGTCTGGCCGACTGCCGTGCCCAGCTTGAAGGTTCTGATGGCCTGCCTGAGATCCCGAACCGATAGGTGTGGCAGCACGGGCCAGGACTGGGCCTCCGCAGGCAGCGGGACCTCTCCAAGCTTGTGGTGCTCCCATATGACCTTCCAGTCGTGGAGCTCCGTGTCCGCCAGGTCGCTCGGGTGGCCGCTCCTGTTCTCTCTGGGGACCTCTACCTCCTGTTTGGGCTTGGCGAAACGGTGAGCCAGACCCGCGCCCCCTGCGAAGGCGTCCTTCGCCCAGTCGGTCCAGGCCTTGGTGCACCTATTCTCCGCGTCCGTGGTCATCTGCGTGGCCTTGTCGATGATGACCTGGGTCTGGAGCTTCAGCGAGCTGGCCCCAAGCATAACAGCGCCGGTTTGGAAAAGCTCGCGGGCCCCGCGATCCAGCTGCTCGAGTATGTGCGACTGCTTGCCAACACGAGCACAGAAAGCGTCGAACTCCAGCAGAGCGGAGGCCAGGCCCTTGACGCGCTTGTAGCGCTGCACCCCGCCGAACACCATGCCCCTGGCAGCGCCAGGGGGTCGAGAAGGAGGGGCCCTACCAGCCCGATCGCCTGAGCGTTGATCCATCCACTCTCGGTGCTGCTCGAAGGCGCGAAGGTGCATGTCCACGGCCTCTGCCCAGTCCTCTTCCGACTGATCACGTAGCCGCCGAAGACGGTCACTGTAACGAGCACGGCTGCGAACTCCAGCGCGATAAGCCGTCTCGCACATCTCTCGAGCTCGGTGCCAACGGCGCGCATCACGAGGCAAGTCTTCATCCCAATCTCCTCCGTCCCAGAGAGGGTCAAAAGCAGGGTCCCTCAGCTGCTCCGCGGTGTAGGGCACGCACCACTCCATCCAGTCCTCGGCGACGTCTTGCTCCGTCTGCTGCTCGTTGCGCGGGTCGCCTATCCAGTTCTGCGTGTAACGTCGAAGCTCACGTTGGATGGCCTCCTGCATGCGGCGGGCTACTACCTGATCGGGGTCCTCTCCACGAGCAGCAGGAACAGGCTGGGGCTCGGGTACTCGTCTGTCCTCCAGATCCTCGGTGAGCTCGTCTGACTGGGCGATCTCACCATCCATGCTGCTTCCAGGCGCCAGTGCGCATAGGTTTCTCCTCCCGTGCAGCGACATTGGCGACACACCAGGCATCTCGTACCTGTCCTGGTCCTGGTCATCCAGCAGCCTATCAAGATCCTCAAACGGGTCGGCCTCGCCATCCATGTTGTGGTGAACGCCACCAGCCACAGGACGCGGGGCGCAGGGGGGATCCCTCGTGTTGTCCGCTTGACTGACCTCCTGCAATGACCTTACGGGGAGGGCATCAGGGCGAGCATCGCAGCGTCTCTCAGCGCTGCGGTGGGTCTCGCTCGGGCTTACAGGGAGGGCGTCGGGGCGAGCGACGCAGCACCTCACCAGGCCGCTAGGAGGAGGGTCTTGTGCGAGGGCATCGGCCACCCCACCGCTGTGGGCCTCGCTCGGGCTTACAGGGAGGGCGTCGGGGCGAGCGACGCAGCACCTCACCAGGCCGCCAAGAGGAGGTTCGTGTGCGAGGGCATCGACCACCCCACCGCTGTGGGCCTCGCTCGGACTTACAGGGAGGGCGACGGGGCGAGCGTCGCAGCTCCTCACCTGGCCGCCAGGGGGACGTGCATGTGCGAGGGCATCGGCCACCCCACCGCGGTGGGCCTCGCTCGGACTTACAGGGAGGGCGACGGGGCGAGCGTCGCATCGCCTCACCAGGCCGCCTTCAGCTCCTTCGTGTGTGAGGGCATCGGCCACCCCACCGCGGTGGGCCTCACGGGCAGCAGGCTGCTGGGTCAGGGTCGAGCTAGCCTCGTGCAGCGCCTCCTCACCTGGGTGGCGATCGGGGTCAGGGCGAGCAGGCTCCTCGCGCACCCGCCCGTGTGCAGGGCCCACCTGGCCCGAGCGCGTGGCGGATCCCTCCTGGTGCAAGGTGAGCTGCACGACCGTCTTCGCCACGTAGTCTTGCACACCGAGGATGTGCTGGGCCCACCTGGCCGCGACATTCCACGCACTCACTTCTGGCTCGTGCCGAGCTCGTCGTCGAGGAGGTCGCCACTCCAGCTGGCGGGTGCGCTGCTGCACAGGGCCTTCCCGCCCCACGTAGCGCTGCTTGCGCTTGCCGACGATGTCGTGTCTGCCAGCCAGCTCCTCCTCCACGCCTCTGAGGACCAGGTCCCATGCCACCGCAAGCTGAGGAAGAGACTGCGCTTGATCAATGGAGAGATACACGTCCTCCCACCCCTGCCAGGGATACCTCGCACATCCCACGGGCAGCTCCCGCGGGAAGGGGCGCGGCTCGTCTAGCTCGCGTGCCATCGGCGCCTCGGTGCGCTTGGCCAGTGTGAGATGCACAGGCCTGTGTGGCCAAATAATGTCGGTGACCGAAACGTCGACGGAGTACCTGGCCCCCTGGAGCATCGGGCGGTGGGCAAGGAAGTAGTCCAGAGTAGTAGCTGGCACGGCCTGCAGGCAGGTGGGCTCCCGCGGGGCCGCGCACATGGCATCGGCGAGGTGGAGCCAGTCATGCTCCAGCAGCTCCTTCGGGGCCATGTTGAAGTCGCCGCCAACGATCCATGCCAGACCTGGCCCTGTAGCCACGCGCTTCACGTACTGCGCGACCTGCCAGACGATGGCCAAATTGCGAGGCGACCTGCCCTCTCCTGTGTGAAGATACAGCGCCACAGCGACGAAGCCGCCAGGAAGTGCTGCATGCACGTGGGCTGCCACGGCCCTGCCAGGCACAATGACCCCGTCATCCAGCAGCGGCGCCTTCGTGACGGCGATGTCTGTCTTGGCCAGGACGGCGACGCCGCCTTCCGTGCCGCCAGCCGCTGTGGCCAGCGCGGGGCACCACACTCCTTTCCAGCCCGAGCCCTGGGCATCTCCCTGGACCTCAGGGAGCTTCTCGGCACCTGCATGGTGCTCCTGCGCCAAGACCACGTCGCTGCTGCAATCAGCGAGGTACCTGGACAGGGTGCCAAACGAGTTGGCGTTGACGGTAGTTATCTGTAGCTTGCTGCGCGTCATGACCGACAACAGTGTGAGCTCAGGCTGTGCGCGGCTTCTTGACCACCTTCCACTTGGGCTTGGCCAGGCGGATTCGCTTGACTGCAGCACGAAGTTCCTCTTCTGATGCATCTGTAGCGTTAGGAAAGTCAGCGCCAGACTCGCGTAGGAACTCGCGCAGCTCCTCGGCTGTGGCCTGGTTGACGGACTCTTCCTCCTGGGCATCGCCTTCATCCTCCTCCATGGCAGCGTCAACTCTGGCTGCTGCCTCCTCGGCGTGCTCCTGCTGAGCCTGGGTGGCCTCGCGCTCGGCATGAACTTTGCGCTCCTGCTCCTGAGCCTGCCGATGCTGTCGCATCCTGTCCGCCACCTTGGCCACGTCCTGTAGCAGGTCAGGAGGAGCCTCAGCAGCAAGTAGGACTTGCTCCAACTTGGGCATTGTCCAACTGCTCTCGTCGTCGCCAACACCTGCGCCAAGAGCCGCTGTAGGAACCTGCGGTAGCGCACCAACCAATTGGGCCCGCTGGCCCTCGAGCTCCAGCAGCTGCTTGCGGGACTCGACCAAAGCGGCATCCTGCGTGACGATCTCCGCCTGCAGGGCCGCCAGCTGCGCTTGCTTGAGCTCACGGGCCGTCTGCTGCTTGGTGATCTGCTGCTCGACTTTGGTGATCTTGAAACCAAGAGCCTTGAGCCGCTGCGAGGGCGGCTTTTCCTGGAACAGCTGCGCACGCAGCTTGGCCTGCTCAGACTTGCACTGCTCCACCAGCTTCTCAACCTCTGGCGTGTGTATCCCAGCCAGCTGCCTGACGAAGCCGTCCAACTCGTCCAATCTTTTCTTGACAACCGACTCAGCTCCCGCATCGCCTTCCCCTTGCTCCGCTCCCGCCGTGGGCATCGCTGACTCGGGTGGCTTGGCTTTCGCCTGCTTGAGCTGCGACGTGAGTGATTGGACCTGCTTCTGCATCTCGAGCAATTGGACCGAGAGCGATCCTGCTGCTTTGCCGCCCGCGGCCCACGGCGCTGGCCGAGAGGGCACGCTGGGCTTGACGGGTCCCCCGTACACGACGCTCTTGGCCAGGCCGCAACTGTTGCAGCACAGCTTATCCGCGAAGTTGACGTAGGGCTTGTGATCTCGTCCGAGGCAAGACTTGCAGAGCCATTTGTCACGCCTGGCTGCACGACTGCCTCCTCCCTTGTTACCAGCAGCGGGCGGCGCCATTGCTCCTCAACCACAGACTCAGAAGCTGCGCCCGCGAGAAGCAGAATGACGGCTAGGCTGACCACTGGAGGGAGAATCGTATTCAAAGGATTTGGCCTCAAAGCGCGAACCCCCTCGCGCTCAGAGACGCCCGAGAACGGACTCGCGGTCGTCGGGCGGTTCATAGCCTGGAGCCAAAATGGCTACGGATGTGTGTGTGTGTGTGTGAGTGTGTGTGTGTGTGTGTGTGTGTGTGTGTGTGTGTGTGTGTGTGTGTGTGTGTGTGTGTGTGTGTGTGTGTGTGTGTGTGTGTGTGTGTGTGTGTGTGTGTGTGTGTGTGTGTGTGTGTGTGTGTGTGTGTGTGTGTGTGTGTGTGTGTGTGTGTGTGTGTGTGTGTGTGTGTGTGTGTGTGTGTGTGTGTGTGTGTGGTGTGTGTGTGTGTGTGTGTGTGTGTGTGTGTGTGTGTGTGTGTGTGTGTGGTGTGTGTGTGTGTGTGTGTGTGTGTGTGTGTGTGTGTGTGGTGTGTGTGTGTGTGTGTGTGTGTGTGTGTGTGTGTGTGTGTGTGTGTGTGTGTGTGTGTGTGTGTGTGTGTGTGTGTGTGTGTGTGTGTGTGTGTGTGTGTGGTGTGTGTGTGTGTGTGTGTGTGTGTGTGTGTGTGTGTGTGTGTGTGTGTGTGTGTGTGTGTGTGTGTGTGTGTGTGTGTTGTGTGTGTGTGTGTGTGTGTGTGTGTGTGTGTGTGTGTGTGTGTGTGTGGTGTGTGTGTGTGTGTGTGTGTGTGTGTGTGTGTGTGTGTGTGTGTGTGTGTGTGTGTGTGTGTGTGTGTGTGTGCGTGCGTGCGTGCGTGCGTGCGTGCGTGCGTGCGTGCGTGCGTGCGTGCGTGCGTGCGTGCGTGCGTGCGTGCGTGCGTGCGTGCGTGCGTGCGTGCGTGCGTGCGTGCGTGCGTGCGTGCGCGTGCGGGTGCGGGTGCGGGTGCGGGTGCGGGTGCGGGTGTGGGTGTGGGTGTGGGTGTGGGTGTGGGTGTGGGTGTGGGTGTGGGTGTGGGTGTGGGTGTGTGGGTGTGTGTGGGTGTGTGGGTGTGTGTGTGTGGGTGTGTGGGTGTGTGGGTGTGTGGGTGTGTGTGTGTGTGTTTGCACATCGTCGGCCACAGAAGGGTAGGAATTTAGGAGTGCTTTCCAGAGGGGTCGGAGTAGACCTGTAACGTAGATATTGTGGCACAGGGGTTGAAGCTGACGACTCTCTCCAAACTTCAAGGCAAGTCCGCCTAGACTTCGCAGGTAAATTCGGATCACGTTTTCGAATTTCGTGTTCAGCAACAAAAAAAAAAACAGCTGCACCGCTTGTGACCCCCCCGCCGCTTCGCCGTCGCGGCGCAATTTCCCCAGGGCCCCCCGACGAAGGCAATAAGGGTGCACGCTTGCACTACGGTGGAAAAAAAACTAGCCGACTTGGCGACAACTTCGCGTTCGGCGTCGCTGCCCTCTTCTGCTGGCGGCCAGAATGGGCGCGAGGTTGTCGCCACTTCGGCGTCGGGTGGGGGCCCAGGAATCGGCGTCGCCATGGCGATACGGCGGAGAAATGTTTGAATGTGTTCCTAAATAATATCTGAGCACCCCAGGCACATGTTAGGCGAACGTCTTTGTGGCTGTTGGACCAAGCCATCTCTTCTAGATGTTCAAATCAACGTCCACCCCCACCTCGCCCTCGCCCCCCTCCACCCGGCCCCAGGCTT